CGCATCACAGGTGAGCGGGTCGAGTGCATCAGCACAGCCGGTCACCGCTAACGTCTCCACTGTCTCGTCATCATTACACGTTACGGCTAACCATTCAGAATCGCAAAACAGTAATCAGGAATATACGTTATTACCCAACGTTTTGCTGTCCACAGCGTTAGTGGACATAGCAGATTATAATAACAAATATCACACTGTACGCATTCTGCTAGATAATGGTAGTCAACATTGTTTCATAAAGAAATCGTTATGTGAAACATTAAATGCAACGTTAATATAGTCCACTTATCACGTTGCTAGGGTAGGTCAAAGAATTTCGCAGTCCACCCACATTTGTAAAATAAAATTACGTTCAAGGTTAAATTCGTTTTGTATGAACATTGATTGTTTAGTGTTGGCGTGCATTACAAATCAATTACCCACATTTAGTGTCGATGTAAATAATATGAATTTACCTGATAATATTCAACTTGCGGATCCGAACTTTCACTCACCGTCAGACATCGATATACTGATAGGCGCGGATAAGTTCTGGGAATTATTGTGTGATGGCAAAATTAAGTTGAATAAAGGACCTTATTTACAAAATACAAAATTGGGTTGGATAATGTCGGGACCTTTACGTAATAACCCACTTCCCGTTAAGAGTGTGCAATGTAATTTCTCCCAAACAATTGACACACAGTTGAAATTGTTTTGGGAACTCGAAGAGATAAACAATAACGTTAATAAAAACATCCTTAGTGCTGACGAACGTGCGTGCGAAGACATTTTTGTCAAAACAACAAAACGTATGGAAGATGGTAGGTTTTCCGTACGCATTCCTTTAAAGGAATCAGCTGATGTGCTCGGAGACAGTTACACAACGGCTGAAAAACGTTTGTTGTCGTTAGAACGAAAATTCGCTCGTTCGCCACAATTTCGGGAAAAAATACGTAGATTTTATGGGGGAATATGAAAGGCTCGGTCATATGAGTTGCGTTGAAACTTATGAGTCACCCCACTATTTTTTGCCGCATCATGGCGTTATTAACGAAAATAGCAGTACGATTAAACTGCGCACTGTTTTCGATGCAAGCGCAGCGACGTCCGGTAAGTCGTTGAACGATATTCAACATATTGGTCCACCACTTCAGAATGACATTTTTAGCATTTTATTACGCTTTAGGCAATATAAATACGTAGGTTGTGCGGACGTTGAGAAAATGTTTCGGAATTTTCTTGTACAACCAGATCAACGAGATTTACAATTGATATTATGGCGTAAACTTCCGTCGGACCCAATACGTGTATATCGCCTAAACACCGTGACGTATGGCACTGCGTCTGCGCCATACCTTAGTATGAGATGTTTACGTCAGCTTGCGCTGGAATGTAAGGATCAGCAGGTTGCGAGAGTAATCCGAGAGGATTTTTTTCGTTGATGACGTCATCCTAGGTGACAATAATTTAAATAGCTTACTCGATACCTGTGAGAAGTTACGAAATACTTTAAACTCGGCTTGTTTACCGTTGCGTAAGTGGTTGTTTAACGTTGATATCAGTGACCACGACATATCTAAAGACTTGTCATTAGGAGAACATTCCCAAACTAAGACTTTAGGAGTGGGTTGGTATAATAAAAGTGATGAACTTCATTTTACCACACGAGTAGTTAGACCGAATTTACTAAATAAACGTACAATGTTGTCGATAATCGCACAAATATACGATCCTCTAGGAATTTTAACACCGGCTGTCGTAGTAGCTAAAATATTGATGCAAAAAGTGTGGTTGTGCAAGATAAATTGGGATGATCCCGTTCCCAGTGATGTTGCTTTATCCTGGGAAAAATTTATTGACACACTTCAATATTTGCATAACCTACGTATTCCGCGTCATGTTATGAGCGCACACACACAGTTTATAGAATTACACGTATTCACGGACGCGTCGCAGAGTGCGTATGGTGCATGCGCATATGTTCGCACCTACTCTGATGACTCATCGGTGACTGTTAGATTATTGTGTGCAAAGAGTAAAGTTGCACCAATTAAACCAGTCAGCATACCCCGATTAGAACTGTGCGGGGCTTTAATAGGCGCACGATTATATAGGAAAATTATCGAGTCATTGCGTGTTAATTTCCACAAAATTTACTTTTGGACAGACTCAACTATTGTCCTTGGATGGCTACGTATGTCACCACATTCGTTAAAAACATTCGTTCAAAATAGAATAGTGGAGATTAATGAAATAACAAGTAATGCGTTATGGTTACATGTAGGAACCAAAAATAACCCAGCGGATCTGGTCTCGCGGGGTCTTAGTCTTGATGTACTCATTGACAGTAATCTGTGGTGGAGCGGACCTGAGTTCTTAAAAAAATTCTGAGTCGGCATGGTCACATCAATCTTCGACTACACACTCCGACTTACCAGAACTAAAATCACAAACGACAACGGTTATGGTTTGTGATGTAACAAAGAATAAAATTATTAATTTTGAAAGGTTTCGTTCTTATCAGCGTATCGTGCGCGCCGGCGCTTACCTGTTGCGATACATACATAACTTACGCACACCAAAGAAAGATCGTACACAGGGGCCGTTATCAGTAGACGAATTGAATGACTCCTTACAGTCGTTAGCGCGTCTTGCTCAACGCGAATCGTTTCCGATGGAATATGATAAGTTAAAACATAACTTACCTTTAAAAACTTCAGGTTCGATTTCTAGGCTTAATATATTTCTAGATGAAAGGGATATAATTAGAGTAGGTGGCCGTCTTAGTAACTCGCCTGACTTTCATTACGACAAGAAGCACCCGATACTTTTATCAAGTAAACACAACTTCACACAATTGTTGTTTCAACATCAACACAAAGAGCTTCTTCATGCTGGTCCCCAGCTGCTATTGGCCACCGTGCGTGAGAATTGGTGGCCGTTAGGGGGTAGAAACCTAGCTAGAAAGGTTGTCCACCAATGTGTTCGCTGCACTCGAATGAAAGGTAAAACCCTAACACCAATCATGGGCAACCTTCCGTCTGAACGAATAGAACCTGGTTTCCCATTCATTCGATGTGGAGTGGATTATGCGGGTCCCATAAACGTACTGAATCGCAAAGGAAGGGGAGCTAAATTGGAAAAGGGCTATATTTGCATATTCGTTTGTTTTGTTACCCGGGCCATTCATCTAGAACTTGTCAGTACGTTAGCTGCTCAAGAATTTATATTAGCACTTAAAAGATTTATCTCACGACGAGGTAAACCAGCTCAAATTTTCTCAGATAACGGTAGAACTTTCATTGGAGCCATGAAAGAGATTAACAAAATGTTAGAGCGAAATTCAAAGCAAATAATTGATAGATTATCAACTGACAATATTGAATTTAAATTTATTCCCCCCTTATGCTCCTCATTTTGGGGGATTGTGGGAAGCAGGAGTAAAATCATGTAAGTTCCACCTTAAGCGTGTCGTGGGTACCGCTAACTTGACATACGAGGAGTTCAGCACTGTGTTGGCACAGATCGAAGCAGTCCTAAACTCCCGTCCTATAAGTCCTATGTCCTCAGATCCACATGATCTTCGTCCACTAAGCCCAGCTCATTTCCTCATCGGCCGGCCACTCACTGCACCAGCCTGCAGAGACCTCACCGAAGCACGGACTCACAGCTTGAAACGGTTTCAAAGAGTGGAACAAATAAAACAGCACTTCTGGAAACGCTGGTCACAAGAGTATGTTGCTGAACTTCAGACAAGAACGAAGTGGAAGGCGAACAGTGAAGACATAGCATTAAACACGCTTGTCGTTATTAAGGAGGACAATTTACCACCCCTTAAATGGCGTATGGGCAGAGTTACCCATATTTTCCCCGGAAAAGACGGCGTGTCGCGTGTCGCCACCATCCAAACTGCTACGGGTCCTGTACAACGAGCGTTCTCGAAAATCTGCCCTCTGCCTGTATCATCAGCAGAGGACGACAACATGAATGCAGCCTGCGGTATCTCCAATCAAGCGGCAACGTAGATACATCATTGGAAGCTGGAGCTTCCAAGGCGGCCGGCATGTTGGCGCGACTTCTAACGCCGCCTAGCGACGCACCGGAACACCAAACTTTTAGCTACGAATCAGAGCTCGTCATTGTTAGCAACCAATCACAGCACGTCGTGCAATTAGTTATAAGATCTGTCCGTTTTAAATTTTGATTATTACCTGATACACACTGTTAGCAATAAGACGACTTAATATAACCAACAAACGTTCAATAAATCAATCATTGAAGAGCACCTGCCTCCCGTTCCTGTACATGAAGTGGTCCTATCGAGCCGAATAAGGAGTTCAAGCTTGAAATCTCCGAAGATTCGTCGCATTAAAATACGAAGAGGAGATTCACGTATCGAGCGAAGAGCTGCAACGTTAAGGCATCGACAGACAGGAGTGGCAGGTTTGAACTTCCCGTCCGTTACCCCATCTCATCCTTCGATAGGTGTTGATTTCGTGCTGATATTCCATTTCCAGTGCTCAAGTGGCGGTACCTACCTGCGTACTGTACACCATAGGCCCTAGCTCATATTTTAAGGAGAATTGGAACGATTTTTCGCAGAAAACTCTCTTATCAACCAGATTATTAACATAAATTTAAGGTTAAGATTTTTTTTTTATAAGGGTGCGAAACGAGCACACAAACCTGATGGTAAATAGATGCTATGGCCCTTAGACATCTACATTTATCCTCTAAAAAAGAATCAAAATGTAGATGCGTTGTCACCCCTTAGGACTAAGATGGAATGCCTCGTTTCCTATAAAAAGGGTCACCGAGTCTCTACACTCACGATACGAAACACAACAACATAAAGCTCCTATTTTACGCTGATATTCTGTGAGAGCGTGGTTCTTCCCCGGTCTAGCCGACCCATTCGTGCCACAACTAATACAGCTGCAGCGTAGCGCTACTTATACCTATAAAAAAGTACATACTCAAGTTGCTCTATATTAACAAATGGTATAAAAAAGACTTACGTATCACTTCAACAAACAGTGTGTAGTTAGCTATGGGGTCAAGGAGACCATCTTTAACTGTTATATAGTCATCCGCACTGTCGACCATCATTGGGTTTCTTGTATAGTCGCTGTAAAGAAGCAATCAATTGATTAGATCAAAAAATTAGGAAACTTCATCTTAGTAAAAAATTTATGTATATTTCCAAAAGTTTCAGTCTGGTCTGGGACTTATAGCTCCCATTTTTATGTGAGACTTATAACAAAAAAGAATTCAATAGAAATTTCACAAATGTGATTTTGACAGAAAATACATATTTTAGATAAACGTGGCCCGATGTTTTCGGGAATTATATGCATAACGTTTATGCATATAAAAGTGTGGTCACCCATTAAACGAAGATCGAGATAACAATTTATTTTTATTTACTAATAATGGATATAATAATGTATGCAGTGTATGTAATATAAAAGTGTATAAAAACATTATATTTGTCATCATCATTGATAAATTACAATTTGAATTTGATTATTTTAAGTGTCTCAAAACTTGTAGTTTTCATTTAAAATTATATTAGATTTTTATTATATTAGCATTAAAAATATATAAATAAGACGTTTATTTGGCTACCAGAAACAATGACGTCATTTTCAGGTATTCCCTTATAATTAAAAAGTAGATTTGACAACTCATAAAAAGTACGTCAAGTATGTAATTATTTATTGTCTATGAAAACATTTTTTTCTCTTATGAATACGAAATTCTTTCTCCTAAAATCTAAATGAATTCTCTCATAAAATCTAAAAGGAAATACTTACTTATCACTTCGGTCAAAATCAGGATAGGACCTTCTGTCCCTTTTAATCTCTTCAGGTTCTGCTGTAGACAGATCTTCCTCGTCGAAAAACTCGTCCTTTGTAGTTGTAGTGGGAGTGGTCGTTACAGAAGTTTTGGGAGGGGGAATATCAAAATAGGGCCGCCTGGGTTTTTTTAGGCATCGGCGACACATATCGCTGTGTAAGGTTGCGTCATCGGTATTAAAGACGACGTTCTCGTCACCCATTATCATTTCTATTACGTCTGCACCTAGCGGGAACTTGTCACTGTAACATAGTTAATTATTGCAAGCGAATTATTTACAAAATATATTATTTATAAACACTTATAAAAATATATTATATTTTGAACAGTATATTATCACAAGTGTTATCTATAAATAATATCTTCCCGAATAAATTCTAAGAAGTTTAGGCTTCAATCACATTAAAAGTTAAAAGAAGAATTCGGTACAAAAATTATAACACAACCATTGCATTAATATCCTTATCATTTATATAATCATGTCTCAAATAAATATTTTTTTTATTGATAGCTTAAATAATTTTCATTAAAACATACTTACATCCAAATCCAATATTTTAAAAGGAAATTTATTATAGATATGGATATCCATGGATAACGATTTTAGCTGTGCATTTCCTAATAAGGTACAAATGAATAAAATTTATTATTTCCATAGAATACTATAATAAATACATAATAGAACGGGGGGGTGAGCGTAGTCCGCGTAGCCACTAAAATGTCACTAACATGTCAATTCACACGTATAAATGTCTCTCGATCTCTCTCTCTCTCTCTCCCGAGAATTGTTTAGACGTTACAATCGTTTCCACATTTCGCATGCAAATTATTTAGAAATTGCCAAATTGCACCCTATTTACAAATAAATATGTATTAAAATTTAAACGATTTATTTAATGATGATCTTAAACATTAATCAAAAGTCTATAACTTGTAAATTTATTCAGTCTGTCAACACAGCGAATCGGGTTTGGCGACGCCAAGCCTCGTGGCAAAATAAAGTTGACAGCCATTCTATTGTGTATTATAGTATTCTATGATTATTTCATTCATAAATTTCATAAAAATTAAATTTAATGTAATTTTTTATGAAATATTAATTTTTATGTATGTTTTTATCGAAAAGGCCCAAATCTTTTGAAATCAATATATTAATCAAATATTTTAGCAAATGTTGCTAGACATTGCATACAGTTGACAAATAATTCCGAATTAAACTTACTGCGAGAAAGCATCAGCTATATATGCCCCGAGGACTGGATGAACGCCATGCGCTTCTTCATAATCCACTATACTGACGTCACGAGGCGAAGGCAGTTTGCTCCAATCTGAACGCGGTAGTAATTTCATCATGTATATTCTGAAAAGCAATTTTTTATTTTAATTCATGAAGTTATAAGACAGGATAATGCCAAATTATAAATTTACTCTGAGGGAACATAACAAATTTTATTTTAAATGAATTCAAGTACGTTGTATATTCCTTAAGCTATGACTAAAGGAATTGCTATAGAACTTCGCTCTTTTATCCGCGGTGTAGCCGATAACCTAGATCGTCGCTTGTACCCAAACTTGTCCCCTTTTTTGCGTATATGTTTTTGGTGGGACAAAAATTATAAAAACACAACAAATCATTCCAATTATAAGAAATTAATTCATTATACTTTAAAATATCGTATAGCATACAAAGATTTTTATAGGCACTCTATTGGCAATTGGTTACCTATTTAAACTCATTTTTTATTCATTTATGCAACCTACTCTTTACGAAATATATTATAATACTATACTTAAAAAACATACCTATAACAACATATTGGGCCATTCCTCTCCGACAGCCTCGGCAAACTTAATTTTAACATGTATTTGTCATCTTCGACAATCTGGAAATAACAAAAATTGGTTATTTTAATTAAAAGAATGCACTAAGTAATTATACACAGCATAAAAGCGGAAAGGTATAAAATAAATATAACTAAAGATTAATTTATCATTACTTAATTTCATACTTATATGCAAAATGAAGTTGAGAATAGTTTAGGTACAAACGTTAAACATATCTTTAAGTTCGTTAATAATAAAAAATCAAGTAAAGGTATCTGAATCTGTGACTCACGATGTTAACACTGCTACCTATCTCCAAGGAATCTGTGAACTTTTTTCAGCGTATTTTGTTTCCGATTATGAAAAACCTGACCTTGTGAACCCAAATTTAATATACCGAACAGGTCTAATCTTACACTATCAAATATAGTCATTAGTAGAGATGATATTATTAGAAAGATCAAAACACTAGAGGCACATTAAGGTGCCGGCCCTATTGAAATTCCATCATTATTTGTTAAGGCGTCTTGTGAAGAACTTAGTTTGCCACTATTTATAATTTTTAATAAGTCAATTAAGAGTGGCACATTCCCCTCTGTTTGGGAAAACACCTTTGTAATTTCTATTCATAAGTCTGGTGATAAAACAAAATGTGAAAACTATAGGCCAATTAGTATCTAATCGTGTATGGCTTAAATTTTTGAATCGCTGGCTTATGACCATATTTACAACCAAGTGAAACAAAGCATCTCATACTTACAACATGGTTTTGCGACTGGAAGATCAACCGTTAGTAACCTACTTGCTTACAAAAACTACATCTGTCAAGCGTTTGCTGCTCAACGCCAACTAGACTCGATGTATACTGACTTTTCAAAGGCGTTTAACATTGTCAACCATAGAATACTATCGACTAAATAGGCAGCATACGATATACATGGCAATTTTTTACGTTGGATAATTTTATATCTTTCTAGACGTAGACAAATTGTTGCAATAAAAGTTTTCCTCTCCTTCCTCAAAGGTCCCATCGTGGCCCTCTGTTATTTATTATATTTTTAATGACTTGGTAGACCAAATCACAAGTGAAAGTTTACTGTATGCAGACGATATGAAAGTTTTAATGACTACCTCATGTTGCAACGCGACCTTAACAATATTCATACCTGGTGTTCTCATAGTAAAATGTATTTGAATGTAGCTAAATGTTTTTGTAACTTTCAGAGCTAAGAAAACTCGACTACAGTATATATACCATATCAATAATCACCTTATAATAATACTAATAATAATAAACCTTTGTCCGAAAGTAATGTTGCTACGTACTTGGGCGTTATCTTTGACACAAAACTACATTTTAAGCAAAACTTTTATCACTTAGTTGTTTTGTTACAAGAGTTATGAAGTAATTCAAGATACCCCTTAGTTAATTCTTTTAACACTCTTGTAAGACCAATCCTTGAACACGCCTCGGTAGTCTGGTCATCCTATTATGAAGTACATATAGCTAATATCTATGTACATATAGCTAATATGGACTCCGTATATATACTCTATTTATGTTACTCTATATTTTAAACAGTATATAACATAAATTTTAACCAAAAATAGACGCGTCTTATTATTGACTTCTTAAGAATTTACCTGAGAAATGTGCAATTATCTGGATTATTTCTATGATTAACACTACAGTCACTCACAGAATAAGTGACCATTTTGAAAAACAATAACTTTCTGATAATATTAGCTATTATACTCTAAAAAAATATATAGATACTTATTTTTGCGTGCCGACTTTTTCCGACCTGTCATTCAAAATCGATTACAAAGTCTATTCTTTTCTATTTTGCTATATTGTCGTAAGTTTTTGGTCTATGGAACCACCATTCGCTTGTGCGCTAGTTATAGTTTCGGTAGTTCGAGTTCTAATAAACGATTGATTCAGAACTTGACTCTGTCGTGAATAAGCCGGTAGGTCATGGGTGTGTCACAATCACACAATGAGGCAGTGAAACAATTCACAATTATAAAATGACACACTATGTGACTGACTGTGTGCACCGTGAGGCAGCGGCGGACTGACCTTAACCCAGCGCGGGAACGGCACAGTGAAACATATAACAATGTAAGAACGACACACTGTGTGAGGGTGTGAGCACCGGCGGGCGCGGCATAGTGATACATGTCACAATGTAAGAATGACACGCTGTGAGTGTGTGTGTGTAAGCACCGGCCACTGCGTGCCAGTGAACCAACGGGCGTGAGCGCGCTGACCTTGATCCAGCGCGGGCGCGGCGCGGGCGGCTGCGCGGGCGGCGTGCTGCAGCGCTTGGTCTCCTCCTCGCCGCGCCGCTGTGTGCGCGTCACCGCGCTCAGCCGCACCGTGTAGTTCGTGTTCGGTGGCAGGTCGTCGAATCTGTACGACCACAACCAACCCAACACTCAATAATAAAAAACGTTATGACCTTCAAACTGAATTTCAAACGACGGGCAGTCTTCAACAGCGAAAACTACTGCGCAAGACAGGATTATAGAGCCCAAGTGTATGCACAAGCAAAGGTGCACTATCTATTCCCTCACTCTCATTGTCCGATGGGAACGTAATTCTACAAGGCCGGAGAGAGATCACGCGCAGGACCAACGGCTTAACGTGCTTTCAACACCTACCACCACCCAACGGACGCGAACTTAACATATATATAACATATCATATTATAATCTTATATTTATCACTTTTTTAATAAACATTTTAACAAAAACTTGAAGTTATTATTGAACATTCGTTCAATACCCGAACATTTTTTGATCCTTCGAGCCGGATCTGAATCATAGGTCCAACATATAAATCTAACCATAGGTCGCTGATTCAATCTGCTCGAAGGACCAACAAAATGTACGATCAGACCGTAGTCACTTATATTGACAACAAGTACTTCTATGGCTACTAGAAGGGCACTACGATACTAATATATTGCGCATTAAGTTCGTCTCCATAACTTCTTTAGTCGAATGCTCGCAGTCGAGAAGACTAGCTGTTTTTGCTTTAAGTGAACTATTGTAGTAATTAAAACCGTATTTCACTGATTGAAGGATGTAATGAATAATAAAATGCACATACTTAATTAGCTTAAAAGTAGTTTTCGACGATGTGATGGGAGTGAGAGCCTATGCAAACCGATTACACACTTTGTCAACGTGATTTGAAATCTTCACGGGTGATTTCTAGATCTCGACAACAACGCCACCAACCGGGTCCAATCGAGTTTTTAAACCATCCAGGGATCTACTCAAATACACACAAAAAATTCATCAATTACGGTCGATCCATTTTCCAATTTTCGCGAGACTATCGGACAGCATTGATTTTATATAATATAAGAAGATAAAAATGTAACTTTATTTCGTATTTGCATAAAAATAGTAAAAGTAAAGTTAAAAAGTTACAGCCTTTATACATCCCACAGCTGAGCACAGGCCTCCACTCATTTCTGAGAGGGATTTAGGGCAAGGAAGTGTCCGCCGCGCTGCCCCAATGCGTGTTGGCGAACTTCACATGTCTACGAAATATTTTTTGTCTTATTCCTCAGACATGGGGGTTTCCTCACGATGTTTTCCTTCACCGACGAGCACGTGTTAAATCAGCACTTAAAATTGCAATTAACAATTTCATTGATGCCGGCGGGGATCAAACCCGGGTTACTCGCGTTCTGTTATATTTACAGCGAGCGTTAACCATCTGAGTTACCACGGCTAAAAATAGCAACTGTCGTACATGAAAATACAACAGCGTCGTATATTGACCGTTGCAACTCCAAAGCTGTAACCCATTTTTGTTCAGAATTACCGGTCTAGTAGTCTTGATTGACAAACTTGACCACAATGATAATGCCCTCGTGGCTGAATTGGAACATGACGATCACTACCAGATAATCGGAAACATTGGACGCTAATGTGATGTATCACAATGCAATGGTATCCTCACATTCTCTAACAAACTCAGTTCAACTGCTTAAATTACTCCCGATTCCTGGCCCTCTAGGGTAGTGTTTCGCCGATACAGGGGCCTAAGAAGAAAGTTCCCTAAATAGTGTAATGTTGATATTTTATATATACTTTTAAGTTAAGGTATATATTGCTATGGGCCAATTTTCTTAAGTTTTAAGTCCTTGATGCATGAAATAAAGTGATTGTATTGTATTGTGTTAGATAAAATCCTGAATATCATAAATGAAGATTCTGACTTCCCGTCTGTCTCAAGATCAACATTGTGCAAAGCGCTAAAAAATTTATATAAATAAAAGAGTAATAAACAGTATTTTAATAGAAAGGCCTGATATAGTTTTATACGAAGTAAGGGCAACCAGACAAAACGGAACTACTATATGTTATTGAGATGAGACGTGGGCATGAAACTATAAGTCTGGGTTGCCAATGCAGTGACTACATCGCGATCTGCATTCTTAGATGAGCTATCAACAGGATTAAAATATGTAATAATAATGTCTTTAATTAATATTATAATGTGCTTAATTTTGTATTTTTTTTATTTTAAATATTTTTTATAAATAAATCTGCACTCATCGTATAAAAAATACACGTTATTTCACGGCTATTTTATTATTATTACTGCAGGAAAAGGCAAGCGGCTTATAATTATACATATCGGCAGTATCAATGGATTTGTATAAGGATTGATATATTTTGGATCTTATAAAACCGGTGACTATCACCAAGATATGGACGCCAAAGTGTTTGAAAATTTGTTCCAAGATGTTTTACCTAAATTGGATAAGAATGCAGACATTGTTTTAAACAAAAAAAAACTAAATTTCCACAATTGTTTCTTCTGCGGTAGCAACGCGCAGGGGACCAGCCAGAATCGAATAAAAAAATATTATATTCTAGTATAGAATAGAATAACATTTTTTCAATACAGATTACAAAAACATTGCAAGTCATTTACGCTTTTACCACTGGTGGGAAGATTCTTCAACTGAAGGATGTAGCTACCGCAAGATCAGTTTTCTTTAGTTACTCTCACAGCCTTGTCTTAAGGCTACAATAAACTTTTATCCCAAGAGCGAATGCGATGTGTTTATCAATTAAATAAAAAATAAACTATTTACCGTGCACTTCTCGTATCATTGGTTTTAGATCGATACATAGGACCCCACGGTTCTCTCTGTAGTCTCCCGTAGCGATCCTTATACGTCGCGATACCGCTCAAGTTCATCTGAAACATAAACATAGTGTCAACCACCATTTCATGAATGACTGGATTGTTCACTTGGCAGTATACCGGACTGTTCTACCATCAGCTCTGAATTAAAATCGCAGACGAATCTATATTTGTGCTTCTCAAGAACTATCAAAATAACGACTTGCCCCACATTCGCATTCCGGGATCCGGATTCAGCAATGTATTGTTATCTTCTACGACTTAATCAAAAATGCCAACATCTGTATACTGCCCTTTAACTCGGTTGTAGTTTTATAGACACGGGTGGTTACAGTACTGCATTTTTTTTATAGGATAGGGTGACAAACGAGCACACAGTCCACCTGATGGTAAGTGGTTGCTGTGGCCCATAGACATCTATCCTCGATTACGAATCAAAATGCAGATGCGTTGTCACCCGTGAGGACTAAGATGGAATGCCTCGTTTCCAGTAAAAAGGGTCTCTGGTTCTCGACACTCACCATACGAAATACAGCAGCATGAAGCTACTATTTCACACTGGTATTCTGTGAGAGCGTGCCTTCCCCGGTCGAGCCGACCCATTCATGCTACAACTATACTACTAATATAACCGCAGCATGGCTCTACCACGTATATATATACCACGTATATCTGCATTCCGTTGACCGGATTTACCAATGTAGTGTTATATTTTTACGGCTTGATTAAAAACGCAAACATTCGCCTGCTATCCTTAAACTTATAGCAGGTGACAAAAACTGGTAACTCTTTTTAATGGTCACCCCTGAGGACTAAGATGGAATGCCTCGTTTTCAGTAGAAAGGGCCTCCGATTCTCTACACTCACCATACGAAACACAGCAGCATTAAGCTGCTATTTTACGCTGGTATTCTGTGAGAGCGCGGTCCTACCCCGGTCGCGCCAACCAATGTTAAAGTGCTAATCGGCGAGGCTAATCGGCTGCGCATTTCTCAGACGAGTAAAACCCACAACGGCAATTTAATAGATCTGTTAACAAAACTCATTGCATTGTTGGTTGCTCACATACCAATAAGTTGTACTGTTGGTGTTGCATATTCTTTTCCAACGACAAAACAACTTGGAATACTACATGATGATTTAAATAACTTATCTGGAGTCATTAAAAGGAATATGAATACTCAAAAGCAGATTAATGCGTTAATTTCCTTTAGTAATTTCGAAAAAAATTTAATTGAAACATCTTTGTCGCGTCAGTTGTACAAGGAAATTACAAAACACAACATGCGTGTTGATCACAACCCTAGTGTTTTTCAAAGATTAGTCGATATTGTATGCCATTTAGCACAACAAGAAATGTCATGATGAGTCGAAAACTTCATTAAATAGAGGCGATTTTTTAGAACTTGTATCGCTTCTTTCGAAGTACGATCCTGTGCTTAAAAAAGCATATGCAACATCAACAAAGCGACAAACGGCCGAGTTATTTATCCAGAACAATCCAAAATGACATTATTCATTCTGTCGCTGATGTAATGAAAACTCGCATCGAGTACGAAGTAAAATTGTCAAAATTCGTTTCAATTATTATTGACGAAACTCCCGATATTAGTCACAGAGAGCTGATTCTCCGAAATTATTACGGAAACGATATTCATGACCGTTCTTTTGGAGTACGTAGATGTGTCTGAAAGTCGCACAGCTTTGTAATATCATATTGGAATTATTAAACAAACATGACTGCACCACAAAACCAGCAAAGCTGTGTCAGAAATGGAGTGCACCAAAAAGTTAAAGATGTTTGTCCCCAAGCCATGTACATTTGGTGTAATGCACACATTTTGGCATTAGTTTTATCTAAATCTTGTAAAGGATTGGGGAAGTCAGCACTTTTTTTCAGCCCTTCAGGCTTTATTTAATTCTTTTTAATAACAACACAAAACGGTATTATTTTTATGATGCAAATTCAGCAAAAAATTGCCTAATGCCCCCGCAACTCGTTGGACGCATACGTCACGAATTGTGAATACAGTATTCGAACAAAAAGATAATCTGATTTATTTATTTTTGGATATGTGCAACAATCCGCAGAACTGGGACGGCGATACTATCTTGGCCGCTGAGAATTTTGAAAACACATTGCGTTCATTTAATTAAAATTTTTTTTCTTTCAATTTTCTACCGGGTATTTAAAAAAAACCGACTACTTATACAATATTTTAATATTAATAAAATAAAGGAATTAAAACATGGTTACGTACTGAATTTCAGTCAGATTTTGATCACATAAATGTGATATTTTGATTTTCATAAATGAAAACACATTGCAAAATAACTCTGCTCCTCCTTTGAGACGCAATGTGTGCTGTGCTTAGTCAGAATACAAACGATTTTTTGTTGAAATAATTGATAACATATCTTCAGAAATTAATGGCTGATATTCTGAAATTTTCGAATTAAAATATTTCCAATTGTTTAACAAACTATTCGAAAAATATTGTTCAGATTTTCCTTTAGAGGCATTACATTCATTATTTGATAATTACACAAACCATTTTTCTAAACAAAAATTTAAAACCCATTGATTTCATTGTATTCCTCCCCTGAATTAAAAAAACCGCAATGTTTTCGAACTCATTGACTTTATAAACGAAAATAGTCTTGAAGAGAACTTTCCCCAGCTTTTAAAGTTAGCGTATCTTGTCGTAACTATTCCAGCCACAAGTTCCTCCGCGGAACGTGCTTTCTCATCTCTGAAGCGCATCCATACTTATTTGAGAAATACACAAGGTCAAGAGCGTCTTTCAGACTTATCAATTATCGCGATTGAAACAGTTATTGGTACAATTAAAACGTTTACTAACATTTTACGCGGACGTAAACAAATATTTCCTTAAGAAAGAGAGACGATTCAATTTAGAATCTAAATAATTTTTTTTAAATTTTGTACATTGTTTGTTGAAATAATTGATCAAAGGTTCATGCTTTGCTTTTGTTTACGTATTGTATTGTATACAAAATATCTTTTTTTTTTCGCTCAAGCAAACTCAAACGGCTTTTTCAAAGCCACGCACGTATGCAATTGGTGATATGTCATACAATCTATCTAGCAGTAGTATGCCTTCTGTGTGCTTTTTTAAACACGTCCTCGACAGCACTGAATAGTGGAGATTGAAGAGTGGAGACAGATCAAGATTGGTGTATTTTTATAAAACTGCTGAAACAACAAAACCACATCTTGGGTTTGCCCTAGTTTGGAGCCCTAGCTTCGCCACTGGTGGCGCACACAACAGCTGTGTTTCGAGACATGGAGGATACTGGCTGGCCGACTTGCGACTTGTCACCACGCATCCATAATTCCGCAATAAGGGTTACGCGTATTCAAAATACCTAGATTACACTTACATTGAAACACTTAGTCCGTACAAGGCTTAAGTAATTAGAACCCTGTCATTACAAGCGAAAAAAAAAACTATTATCTCTTTAACAAAAAAAGAGGTAAAAGTTCTAAATTCGACATGTTGTGATATCAATATAATATGCATATCTCGCTCTTTAGTTGACCTATCTAAAGATAATTCTTACACAGTAATTTAACAATACCCGAATGTGATGATGATTACAATTTATTATGTTGCGTTGCTAACGTATTCGCGTTAAATGCTTTAGTTAGGACGCACTACTACATGCATGAAAGAGGAATCCACATATCCGAGCGGAAAATGGAAAGAAGTGAAGGTAATGCGATGTGATGCTTTCCCTCTGCCCTACACGTTCAAAACCTAGTCAACGAGAATCCTTAGAAAAAGTTCACCGCTGAGCTAGGGAAGTGTTGTGCTTCCAGGTACGGGTATTTCCTAGCGTCATCGACCGCGCATAACCAACTCCGCCTAAGATACAGCGTGCTTGGTGTTCAAGCGCGCTAGAGAAAAGGGGAGAATTTGTGCTGTCAAAGGCAGAGACCCTGTTGAGATCGCGGATGTGTACTGTTACAGATCCCCTTTTAATAGGAATCCGCTGAAGTTCACCGTCAGCACTCCCAATACTTTCTTATTCCAATACTAGCAACACCAGTCAATCCGTCAAACACTCTCATCCGAAACACATGCCTCTCAATTTAAATTATTAATTTGTGTCTTTCTATAATTAAATCCAGTTGTAATTTCTAAATAGTTTTTTTTTAATGACATTTCATGAAGTCCCGTATAACAAGTACGAAAGCGTTCCCGTTGCGCCGCCTATATGCAATGTGCAAGTCCGACTAAGCCCTTCCATGCCCCCGTGATATGGATATTTTTGGGCATTTACCTATGACAAAAAAAAAATAAAGCACTCACACTATACGCCTTAATTTCAGCGTTGAGCTTAAGCGGTGGGTCCCAAGTTAGGTTCATGAAACCGTTGGAGCACTGTATGGTGACGTTGCTGGGCCGGCCAGGTGTCCCGCCTAAAGTGTTCGCCTTCATCTCCTCAGACCAGTTGCCGCAGCGTTTAGTGAAGTCTGAACATGCGCACACCTGCAAGTAAACAGATGGATCGGATTAATTTTTTTTTTCAACTACAGGTCGCGACAAATAATTCGAGCGCCAAATACGAAAATGCGCTATAGTAGTAATAGATTTTTATATCAGTTGACTAGCACGTAGTGAGTTCGCTGAGGGGATAATTCACGCAATGTAATTGTTGGGACATGATCGGTTCGTTGGTCGACTTATTCTTGACGCGCTTAAATTAATTTGTGCGACAAAAGACGATAAAAGACAAAAATGAAATGCCTCATAACCCGTAGACAGAGAAACCTATACACAAATTGACGCCTTCTTTCGCATTCGCACACCAAAAAGATAGATTTATGCATACATCTTGCATAGAAATGAGACAGAGCGGTGTGATTGTTTGTCCCTTTCTCCGTGCCGGTTTTTTGTTTAGCTAACTACACTCTGCTAAACAGCTTTGACAGTTCTTAGCGATCTAAGGAGTTTACAAGTTGGTTTAAGTGAGAAAAAAGTGTTTTGTGAGCTTAAGATTGATGAATCTTGTTCAGTTCAGTTCTTAGAACAACTAAATTTTTTATCTAAATATGTTTAAAAGTCACAAAGATTATTGTATAACCTAAAACTACGTTATCGTCCTTTCTCACTCGAGGCCACGCTAATCATTATTCTATAGGTTTCTCTGTCTACGTCATATCCTGTAATTGTACTCGCTCTAACACTTCACACTGAAACAAATCATGACAGCAGTAAAAATTTCATTTTTTGTTTAGCAAACTACACTTTGCTAAACAGCTTTGACAGTTCGTAGCGATCTAAGGAGTTTACAAGTTGGTTTAAGTGAGAAAAAAGTGTTTTGTGAGCTTAAGATTGGTGAATCTTGTTCAGTTCAGTTCTTAGAACAATTAAATTTTTTATCTAAATATGTTTAAAAGTCACAAAGATTATTGTATAACCTAAAACTACGTTATCGTCCTTTCTCACTCGAGGCCACGCTAATCATTATTCTATAGGTTTCTCTGTCTACGTCATATCCTGTAATTGTACTCGCTCTAACACTTCACACTGAAACAAATCATGACAGCAGTAAAAATTTCAAATATTACTTATAAATAAAGCTTACCCGAAAAAGATAAGTACTGTGCGGCTCCAAGTTGTCAAACATATACGGCAAATTCCTACTATCCCTCGAATGATACGCTCTTCTTGGCGCTACTTCATCCTTTTTCCTCGCTTCTAGAAGATAGTAATGTATCAGCTCAGCGATGTCTTCTGGCGGTGGTGCCCAACCTATTGTCACGGAGGTAGCGGAAAAACCATTTATTGATATATTGGGAACGAATATAGGATCTTTGTCCAGGGTTTTCACTGTTGTGTCATACACATGTGGCTTGCTCTGTCCATACGCAGTGGTCACTTCTAACTTAAGCTGGTAAGATGTCGATTTCTCCAACCCCTCCATCACGAAAGATATATTTTTGACTCCTATCTTTTCTCTTGTGTACAAACTATAGTCAGTGGAAGGGAGCCTCCGATACATTAAATTGTAACTTTTGATCGGCGAGTTGTACGATCGTATTGTCCAGTTAAGAAAAAGTTGGGTAGAACTGATTGGAATTACCGTGTCTATTACTACGAGTGGTGCAGCGTACACTATTACATCAATTTCTCCACTGATATTAGATGAAGTCACTGGATCCCAAACTTCGCAGATGTAAGTACCGTTGTCTTCTGGACTTTTAATGTGCAACACATAGGTACTTTCAATCTGTTTTAGATCCAATTGGACGGCTGGCTTCGTTTCCAAATCTATCACCTCATTCTCTTTCGCCCTCTTCCACCATTGGACTTCTCCAGGTTTATAAACTGTAACAAGAATAAACAAAATGTCGTTTTAACGAAACTCTAACATTTAACTATTAAGTGTTTTTATTACTTCAAAATTTTAACCAAATAATCCCATCCTAATAATTTTCTTCTTACAGAATAAACGATCCTCAATAACTCCGCAAGTTTTTTTCATCACATCATTGTCTCACATTTAAATGATAAAAATAATTTAAGAATACGGTTTTTACCCGACTGCCAAGGAAGGGTTATGTTTTTCGCGCGATCTTGTATGTTTGCAAATTTCTTTATTACCTCGTATCTTCCAAACGGCTGGATAGATTTCAACAATTAAGGTATCGTTTTATTTGTTTTATTAACCCAAGTGTTCTTAGATAATTTTTGGCGCAAAATACGTTAAAAAATAATACGTTAATAATTTTTTTAACTAAACCTATCGAATAAGATATCAAAATAAAAGAAATTAAAAGGCGATTGCAAATATATATAAGTGGTATGTTTAAATTTAAGTATATTTGTAAATTTCTTTATTACCTCGTATCTTCCAAACGGCTGGATGGATTTCAAGAACTAACGTATCGTTTTATTTGTCTTAAAAACCCAAGTGTTCTTATTCTTAGATAGCTTTTTTTTTTTAAATAAACAAAATGGCGAATTTTGGCGCAAAATTGTTATACTTTAATAAATAAAACCAACCCAATTACAAATTATAAACCAAAAGAAAATTACTGGGTTCCGCCTGCTACTAAACTTAATATTTTACTTGGCTATTTTATACTTAGGCTTTCAGCTCATAATATAGTCTGTTAAACCGAAGTAGAGTTTGCTTTGTTTATAGTTTTTTTATTTTTTTTTTCTTTACTCAATCTTGTTTCGGTCTTTTTAGTATATTACTTTTAAATTGTCTTTTTTGCAGTCGGGTTTTTGAGTTTTTTAATTATTTATAAATGAAAATTTTCATCTTACCTTCAAATACACACTGCATGGTGACATTAGCTTGGTCCGTAACATTCTGCCTAATTGGTCCAGGTGTCTTCTTCACCAACTTGCCCGGAAAGCTCATATCGAGTACCAGCACCCTCTCGATCTTCGCTTCACCCAGCTGTGTGATACAGGTGTAATTGCCAGCGTCTTCAGAAGTCGCATTGGCGATGCTAAGGTTTGACATTTTGTATTTTTGCGGGTTTCCGTCAAGGTCCTTCTTTTGCAACTGTCTCTCTTCCGTTTGTACTTTGATCCTAAAAATGAAAAATTTATTGATAAACTATAAACAATATTTTTTTTATATGAAAAGGGTGACAAGCGAGCACAAAGTCCACCTGATGGTAAGTGGTTGCTGTGGCCCATAGACATCTACATCTATCCTCGTTTGCGAATCAAAATGAAGATGCGGTGTCAGCCTTGAGGACTAAGATGGAATGCCTCTTTTCCAGTAAAAAGGGTCTCCGGTTCTCTACACTCACCATACGAAACACAGCAGCATTAAGCTGCTATTTACGCTGTATTCTGTGAGAGCGTGGTCCTTCCCCGGTCGAGCCGACCCATTCGTGCTACAATACAACTAATATAGCTGCAGCATGGCTCTACCACGTAAAAAGTAAAAAAGTAATAGTATTATTTTAATGATATATATTTTTATAACATATTTAATACCGCCGAGCACGTGGTTAATCAGTACTTAAAATTGCAAGTAACAATTTCATTGGTGTCATTTACAGCGAGCATTAACCATCTGAGCTACCACATTGTCGAGTGTGAAGAAAAACATCGTGAGGAAACCGACATGTCTGAGAAATAAGAAAAAAAAATATTTTGAAGACGTGTGAAGTTTGCCAACACGCATTGAGACAGCGCGGCTGATATTTCTTTGTCCTAAAAACCCTCTTAGAAATGGGAGGAGGCCTGTGCTCAGCCCAGCATTGGGATTGGGACGTATATAGGCTGAAACCATTTTAATTTTTTTTATTTAATACATTTAGTTGACGGCTCCGTGGCGCGGTGCCATAGAGATGAGTTACAGCGCTAAAGGCCGCGGGTTCGAATCCCGCACGGAACAAGTATTTGTATGGCCTACAAGTAATTGTTCCGGGTTTGGATGCTTGGACTTTTGTCCTCGTGAAATTTATGTTTGTAAACTGCTCCACGATACAGGAAAAAATCCTAGTGTAGAGGTAACGTTTTCTTTTTTAATTTTAGAAAAAATTACACAAAAAATTTTTTTAGTATAAAAACGTTAAACGTCAACGCTACGATATTTTCCTCTATCGTGGAGGCGTTTTAAGTACTTAAATTGATCAAGACCAGAAATAATTATTTGTAGTTTGTAGGCCATGTATACACTTCTTCCGCGCGGGTTCGAACGCGCGGTCCCGCTAACAAACACATATCCGCTACACAACCAAACCGTCGTTCATTGTTAGCGCACTCGTTTCAACATTGGTCATAACTGATACGAGTAAGTCGGGATGAGGGCTCTACATTAATATGTCCTCTACAGTTGACAGTTTCGTTATTTTAGCTATCGTAATCGGCTAAGAAAATGTTATTACAGCACGTGTCGTCGTTTAGATTAACTTTCTTTTAATCATATACTTTAATGGAGCAATTCTTGTATGTATATATATATATATATATATATTCGAAATTTGGGCGGTGCTACAGTCCCTTCAGCGGTGCCAAGTTGACAGTCGGTATATCGAAGTGCTGAAGTGTTTGTACAGTAGGGCTACGATGGCTATCCGAGTACAGAACCAGAGTTCGAAACCTATCCAACTGCAGAGAGGTGTAAGACAGGGTGACGTTATATCCCCGAAACTCTTCACCGCTGCGTTGGAAGACGTTTTCAAGCTACTGGACTGGAAAGGATACGGTATTAACATCAATGGCGAGTACATCACTCACCTACGATTTGCCGACGATATAGTCCTTATGGCATAATTGGTGGAGGACCTTAGCACTATGCTCAATGACCTCAATAGTGTCTCCCAACGAATAGGTCTTAAGATGAACATGGACAAAACAAAGATCATGTTTAATGTCCATGTCACACCTATGCCGGTAGTTGTTGGGAGAACTATGCTCGAAGTTGTTGACGAGTACGTTTACCTGGGACAAATAGTCCGACTAGGTAAGTCCAACTTCGACCGAGAGGTCAATCGGCGGATTCAACTGGGCTGGGCAGCTTTCGGAAAATTACGACACATCTTCTCGTCAGGTATACCTCAATCTCTGAAAACTAAAGTGTACAACCAGTGCGTGTTGCCAGTGATGATTTACGGATCTGAGACGTGGTCCTTCACTGCTGGCTGTATGAGGACGCTCAAGGTCGCTCAGCGAGCTATGGAGAGGGCTATGCTCGGAGTTTCTCTGCGTGATAGACTCAGAAATGAGGATATCCGCAGTAAAACCAGAGTGACCGATATAGCCCAACGGATTAGTAAGCTGAAGTGGCAATGGGCCGGCCATATAGCTCGAAGAACCGATAACCGATGGGGAAGAAAGGTTCTCGAGTGGCAGCCTCGTACCGGTAGGCGTAGTGTAGGGCGACCCCCCACTAGATGGAGTGACGACCTGGTAAGACATGTAGGAAGTCGATGGATGCAGGTGGCTCAGGACCGTGCTTTGTGGCGTAACTTGGGGGAGGCCTACGTTCAGCAGTGGACTTGTGTGTGAAGGGCTGTAATGATGAATGATGATGATATATATATATATATATATATAAAAAAAAAAAGATTTCAATTCTCTAGGATTTATTTTGAGAAAATGTCTTTTTGTCCGTGTTTTCAGGCAATGAAAAACTGCTACAATATAAGAAGGTAAATTTTGACATTGTGTTAATGATCGTAATAGCTCAAGTGGATAGCGAGCAGTCGCGAAATCGTAATGCCTTGGTTCGCGTCCCGTCTTCGGTCCGAGTTTTTTTCCTTTGTTTTTTTTTTCAAGTTCCCTTCTTTTGTGAAAAAATCTATTATTTCGAGCCCTTTTTTTAGTATTTTTTAAAAATACGAAAATTTTAATTAAACTAATTGCATAATTTTTTTTAATTATAACCGAGCAAAGCTCGGTCATCCAGGTACTTTTATCTATGTACACATAAAAACAAACAAGAGCAACACAAGGCATTACTTGTTCCATAATATTAAACTGATTAAAAAAAAAGCTAACTTAGTGTGTACTAATTTATATTCGGTTGTAACCGTCCCGAACCACTATGACTATGACTATGACTTCCGTCATATCTTTCCAGGCGATCACTGCATCTAGTGGAACTAAATCAGATCAGATATGATGCTGCCATTCGAGAACCTTTTTTCCTAATCGGTTGTCGATTCTTAGTAATGCATACGGCTCATTGCCATTCAGCTTACGTGTACGGATTCTACGATTATAACAAAGAAATTAAGAGCATAGCCCTCTCCATAGCTCGATGAGCGACTTCAAGCAACCTCAACAACAGTGAAGAACCACATCTTAGTTCCATAATATGTCATCTCACAACACACTGATTGTAACACTATTGTTTTGATGTTTTGAGACAAAGTGTAAAGAGTCTTAATCTCCAAACGCTGTCCAACCAAGTCGGATCCATTGATAAATACATTGTATTGCAATAAATAATACAATAATATCCTATCACATAGTATATACACAAATACTTATTTAAAACAGTAAAACATATTTTATTAGCAAGGTCTTAAGTAGTGCTCACACGTTTCTTGAATACCAATATAGTTTTTATATTTAATAGTCTTGCTAACACTTGCTCGAGCAAGTAGATGAGTTTGTATATTTGGGCTGCGTATTTAGCAGGGATGGGAGATATGATAAGGATATAGAACGACGAGTGAATGCGGGAAATAGAGCAAATGGGGCCCTGCACTCTATTGTGAAGAGTCAAAATGTGTCGAAAAAGGCATTGCAATTCACAATGCTGTGTTGGTCCCTACTTTAACGTATGGTAGTGAAAGTTGGGTGTGGCAGAAGAAGCACGAGAGTAGAATGAACGCAGTAGAAATGCGGTCGTTAAGGAGTATGTTAGGGCTGAATCTGAATGACAGGGTAAGAAATTGTGTAATAAGAGAAGAGTGTGGTTTGCAAGATGATGTGGTGACCAGGATTAAGAAAGGAATGCTTCGGTGGTTTGGTCGTGTGGAAAGAATGAATGAGGAAAGAGTGACAAAGAAAATTTATGTTGCAGAAGTGAATGGCAGAGTCGGAAAGGGACGTCCTAGGCGAAAATTTATCGACCAAATTGGCGATTTATTGGAAACGGGCCAAATTAGGAGTACCCTTAACCGACGAGCATGTATGCGTAGGTGTATGGATATGAAGGAGGCGAGAGAGGTGTGTCAGGATCGTGCCAAATGGAAATCTGTAGTCTCTGCCTACCCCTCTGGGTGACAGGCGTGAGTGTTTATGGATATAGTTTTGCTACTCAATCACAAAAGAAAAATTCTAGAAAGATCTGGACGCTCCTATTTCCGTTATTTGATACTAGATGGCGCTAATAATCACCTGCCATATACCGGGCATTAGTTATGGCGCGCAACAATAGTCCAAAAGTACGCGTTCAAATGAATGCAACAACGGTATGTCAAAATTTCAAAGTAATTATCATATGACAAAATAATACTTTAAAAACAATAATTTTAAACGATTTTATCTCCAAGGGTAGCAAAATAGGGGATGATATTTTAATGGAATGATTTAGACGACATTGCAATTCTGATGTTCCTTAGTCCACTCAACAGGGTAAAAAAATTAAGTTTTAACAATTAAAAATAGTAAAATTTAATTCCACATTCTGAAGTCGGTGTCTAGACATACCGCACTTATCTGTATAGAAGAACTTCAGAATGGGTGCGTTTGGCAGAAAAAAGCGCTAGCAAGCGCTTACAAGCGCTGAAATAGTTTTCGGCCAGGACACGATTGCTACTTCAGTAGCGCTGACACAATCCGCCATTTTGCTTATTTAATTTGTTTGTTTTGAAGTAGAGTTTATAAGTTGTTTTGTGCAATATTAGTTTTAAGTAATATATTGACATGAATAAACATATATATGTTATTAAAAATTCATGATTGGTAAGTTTTTAATATGAATACTTTACAAACATATATTTAAATTAGGTTAGGTTCTCCGTTAAAACTAACATCGTGTCCCGGAGGAAAATAGCTACTTACGATTTGACAGCGCTTACCGCTTACGATCGCCATTTTGCTTACAAGCGCTTGCTAGCGCTTTTTTCTGCCAAACGCACCCAATGTGAAATTATTTTATTTATTTTTAAGTTGTTTTAAGCCGGCTTTTACTTTTACTTTTTATGAAAACTTTTTTGAATGTAAAAAGATCCAATCATAGCTCTTATCAAAAATGAAATAAGTTTTTTTATAGAGGAGAGGGACCAAACGAGCATACAGCTCACCTGATGGTAAGTGATTACCGCCGCCCATGAACAACTGCAACACCAGGGGAATTGCAGATGTATTGCCGGCCTTTTAAAAAGGAGTAGGCTCTTTTCTTGAATGTCCCTAAGGGCCGATATCATTATAATGCCGTTCACAGATCGTTCTCGGTTCGCTCTCGGTATGATAAAATATTATCAAGTAAAAAATATGTGTATGCATTCATACTATCCGTAAAAGTCATGTTTCGCTCGAATCCCATTCCATGTATAATAAATCAGACCGAGATCAGACCGAAATCGGACCGAGAACGAACTGTGAACGGCAATGAGGATCAACCCTAAGTCTAAGTCGTATCGCTCCGAAAAAAATTCTGGTGGTAATCGATTCCACAAGGAAGTTGTGCGAGGATAAAATTTTCTTCTAAATCGCACAGTGGTGAACTGCCAATCATCCAGATAGTATGGATGGTATCGCGAGTTTTGTCGCGATGTGCGATGGTGAAATTGTGGCTGCGGTTGGAATCAGTCCGAGCAATTCCTCAGAGTACTCCCCGTGGTAATGCGATAAAATACACAAAGAGATGCAACATCTCTTCGCAGTGCCAGTGAGTCAAGCCGATCAGAAAGAGCTCGACCGCCGACGATTCGAACGGCTCTTCGCTGGATGCGATCAAATGGAAGGAGCTGGCTGGAGAGCCCCGGCCCAGAGATGGGAACAGTAATCCATATGCGACCGAACCTGCGCCTTGTAAAGTTGCAGGCGGTGTGCCGGCATGAAATACGAGTACTGTCCCGCTCTTCTGAGCACGCCAAGCTTTTTAGAGGCCAATTTGGCCTTCTCTTCCAAGTGACCACGAAACTGCACGTCAGTCGATATGTCGACGCTGAGGATTCCGATACTGGCTGAAGCAGCAAGAGGAGTACCTTGAAACTGAAGAGATACAACGAAGGAGCTCTTTTAACGGTAAACGCGCAAACTTGTGTCTTCTGGGGATTGAACTGGACTATATTTAGTCATCCCCAGTCCGAGACTTTGTTCAATAAAGTCTCGTCTTCAGACACAAGTTTTTCCAGGCACTCGACGACGTTTTCCCGAGAAATATTTGCAGTGTATAAAGCATCGCCAGTGCTGTCTTGCAACATATTATTAATATGCAGAAGAAACAGCGTTGGTTATAGCACGCAGCCTTGTGAAACACCAGCGTTAATGGGCTCGTCATCTGAGTATGCACCGTCTACTACGACCTTGACGCTCCGATCTGCAAGAAAACTGGAGATCCCATTTCAAAATTTTTCGGGAAGCCCATAGGAAGGAAGGTTCGTAAGAAGCGCTTAGTGCCAAACCCGATCGAAGGCCTTCCCTATTGGACATGCAACTAACCTCCACCCATTTATGAGTTAGGTAACCCAGATTACCAGCTGGGCGACCCCGACGGAAACCGTACTGGCGGTTACTAATCAGCTGGAGGAACAAGAAAGTTTTAGTAAAATAGTTCCAACAATAGTGGCAGTTGTTTTTTTTTCAACTGACGAAAAACCGAATGAGGTACACAAGTCGATGCGTATATATTTTTTTATGGTCATACATACGCATAACTTGTTTTCCGATTTTGATAATTCTTTTTTATTGGATAGGGTATACCTCGAAAGTGTGGGACCACTATAAATTTGGAAAAAAAATACCTAAGGGTGGGAAAATAGGGGTGGTTTATTACAGAGTAGTCCGATTTTCACCATAAACTGCTGCTGCAGACAGGATAGTCTCCTCACGAGGGAACTACTTAACAGCTATAGTAAAATTATGTTAGATTCAGAATTTACCACACCATTAAAAGAGACAATAAATTATTAAATACCAAAAATTATAAAATGAAAATTATTAGAGTACGTGATTTGTAAAGTATTCTATAATACTGAATAATAAAACTATTTCACAAATGTTTTGTTAAATTTTTCTTCACCTATTGTGACAACCCTCCTAAAATAGGTAACAATTTTGCACGTTCAGAAAAAATTAAATGAAAAAAGTAAGAAGTGAGTAAAATAAATCAAATGAATTCAATATTAATTTATTTATTTATTGATATTACCTTTCGTCGAATTTAACCGCCTCTCCTTTGTATAACCAAACAATCTCCGCTTTCTCCGGCGCCGCGCTGCAGCTGAGGTTGGCAACTTTGCCGACCTCGCCCTTGGGTGACGACACGTCCAGTATCTCTGGTGCATCTTGACCTGTCGACAACAGACATGAAATCTTATTTATAAGTTAGACCACATCTGTGTTAAAGTCTATAAATACTATCATTTATATACGTTGATATTTACCATATAGTTTTGAAATTACACAATTGTTTGTTAAAATATATACGGTTCAGTAACATAATTGCGACATAATTTAACAGCCCTAAGCCGCATAATTAATTATTTTTCGTGAGCACGTTATATTAGTAGCGAGTTTAGTTATAGGACAGTTGGCAGTAAACGGTTAAGTGGGCAGTAGCGTTCAAACAATGTCTTCGTGGCGAGCAGTGTTGCCACCTTAGTGGATTTTCCACTAAATCTGGTGGTTTGGAACCCCCTTTTAGTGGCAAATTTTTGCTTTTAGTGGCTAGTGGTTTTTTTAGCGGATTAGGAATTTTAAAAGTAACGTTGCCTACACATAAGATAGATATCTTTACTCAAAATATTCGTGACTATTTGGACCAAAGATGCTACCTGGGATTCCGATTCGAAAAACAGATTCAAGAAATGAAAGAGAAAGGTTTTCCACGGGAAGAGGAAGAAGTATTGCGGAATAGGTGCATACAGTTTATAGGTTGTCTGATTGACGAAATAAAAAACAGATTGCCGGAAAATATTACTCTCATGAAACAAATATCCCGTATAAGTCTCGAAAAAGCCCTGCATCACAACAAAGAAAATCTGGTTGATATAATGGCTCGGTTCGTAACAAGTACAGAATTAATTGCAAAAATTTACGATCAATGGCAGCAAATTCATTTACTGAGATGGAATGAAACAAAAATACAAAAAAATTTTGGAGCAAAGTCTTGAAATTCAAAGATGCATAAGGTGTTGCTCGATTTCAAGAATTAGCAACATTTGCGATTACACTTTTGGTATTGCCACATTCGAATGCCGATATGGAAAGACTTTTCAGTAGCATGAATATTATAAAAAACAAGCAGCGAAACAGAATGAAGCTAACTCTTTTGAAATCAATTCTAAAAAATACGCTGCGGTATACAGTTAATGGGAAAGTGCTACAACAATTATGAAATTCCTTTAAATCTTATAAAACAAATTGGGACGAAGGAGTCATATCAGTCTGATAAGGATAACAGTAAGGCTGAAATGAAAATGCAGATTCATCTGAAGACGATTTATTAATGTAAATAATATCTTAAGCAACTTGATGTTTTTAAGTACTAAAAGTAAAAAAAATTATATTAACAACAATAAGATTTTTAATAATAAACGTAATTTTACTTTTTTTTTTGCTTTAATCATATTCATATATCTTAGTGGAAATTTTAGTGGTTTTCAGAGGGGGACATCTTTTTGTTAGTGATTTTCTGGTGGTTTGAGGAGCCTTGTCTGGCGGATTGCTATTTCATCCGTTGGCAACACTGGTGGCGAGTGTAGTTAAGGACATTAATTCATAGAGTTCGTTGGAGTATGACGTTTCAAGACTACAGAATTTTCTGGTTTTTGTTTAAGATGGTTCTAGGATTACGTCAAGAATTAAATGATCCAGTCAGAGAAGTATTAATGGTTGTTGTTGCAGAAGTTTTTAAGAATTTTCATGAGTGCAGCATCTCGAGCAGGTTTAATTTTACAATTTGAACTTCAAATAAACATTCGTATTATTATCGAACACATACTCCTGTACAAATTTATACGTGATATCTTCCGTCCATTTTATTATTAAAACACAATATAAAACGTATAAATATTCAATAAACAGTATCGTATAAACTTTGTGGCGAGTTTAATTATAAAATTACAATTGTACGTTTTGGCACGCAAACGTTGCGTCCTGTCAAATCATGCACTAAACTATACTCGCTCGTTTACACGAACGGCGAGTTTTGTTGCGGGTGGCAGAAGACGCGCGGGAGGGCAGCACTTCGTACTTAACTCGCCGAGAAATAGCTCGGCCGGCTATCCCGTTCAACTTAATCGTTAACTTGCTACTTAACTCGCTTATTGTCGTTCAAACGAGGTTCAAACTTAACTCGCCAGGTTCGCAAGTTAACTCGCTACTGTACTTGTCGAAGTGTAAATCGGTCTTAAGTGATTCAAACTACACTGACGTAGGTGAGAAGCGAGTCTACCAATTTTAGTAGACTTTATTTGGGCCGTTCGGTATAGATAATGTGGCATCTAGGTACAAGTATATAATCAAAGATAAAGGTAAAAACACAACAATGAGCGGCAGCAACAATGATCAAATAGATTGAATATATTTTTACTAATATAGTCTCTATGCTATTACATACTGAGTGTACTAGAACAATTAGAGTTGCCCAAAATCGGTCTTGGTCTCGTTCTTGCATTTTTGTAAAACCAAGATCAAGACCGCCTAATTTTAGTAAGACCAAGACCAAAACTGACCGTGCAAGATATTAGCAAGAACAAGACGAAGCCTGCGAGACTTGCATCTGGGAGTTAGGACTGAGTGTCGTTTCAGAGATATAGGAGTTTGATTATACGCTTAGGGACTCTATGAGACGCAAAAAAATTATATTAAAAAATTTAGAAATTTGGACTTATGCTCATTACGAACAATACCGTAAACATACACAGCGAATGAAAATCTCCAATAAAATTTTGTGAATGAAGTGTCAGCGCGTGTGAACTATTAGAGAAAACGACGAAACAAGTGCTTTGATGTTGATATAAAGGTAAAGAAAAAATATATAAAATTAAGATTCTGAAAGATATGATAGGCTCAGAAGGGCTAGAATCCAAAGCCGTAAAGCCAGTTGAATTAAAAAAAATAGAAATATAAATAAATAAAAGTTACAGTCAGAAGCAGAAGGTAGAAAGAAATCTTTTGTTTTCAGTACTTAATACTAATTGGTGTGGCTTCAAATTGTCGGCATCCGGTCTTATTAGGAATAAGTAAGCATTTCTCGTTTAACAATCATAACTCACTTACTTTTATTAAGTTAAAACTTATACAATCATAAGTTAGGAAAAATTGACCTTGACAATTGACCCTTCTAGTGTTAAATGTAATGTCTGTAAAACTAGCAAAGAATATATATACTACGCGAAAAGAAACGACACTTAAGCATAATATGTGCACGTAAAATCGCTTTCGGCTATGTGTGTCTGGATGTGGGCGGGGGCCTTGAGAGGCGCGCGGGGCGTGGCGGGCAGTCGCCGACTGCCCTGGCCGAGGGTTAGTAAGTATTAGTTAATATGAATACATTCGTCAAGTGATATTATATATATATATATATATATATATATATATATATATATATATATATATATATATAATGAAAATTATAAAAGTAATGGAAAAATTGAAAAATATATGAGTAAATTAATTTTTAAAGGATAGTAGGTAATACTGATTATTGCGTACTGAAATACTAAGTGTTGGTTAATTATTTAAGATTACCATTAACTGTCGTGCGTATTTGGTTTTGTTGGAAGTTTTAATATTCCACATTTGTAAAGATATTTAATAAAAGTTGATTTAAAATTGAACGTATCTTTCACTACCCAATTACATAAGTTTACATAATATATAACATATACCTACTATGTATCTTCTTTGGTAAAAGTCTATAATATTCCATTTCGGTTCGATATCAACACTAGCGTTACACGCTTCGACTTAAGGTCACCGGCGCTTAAGCTCTCATGTACAGAGAGTGTCACCGCTGTGGTACAAGGCTCCACCACTTACATATTAATATCATCAGGTAATAAAACTATTCACGAATTTTCAAAAACACCAATATAATTGAAATGTCGCAAGTAGCACAAAACCAAAAGCACTGCAATATAAGTTTTTGTTTACATATTGTAGAAATTTACATGTATAAATTTCGTAAAATATTATATTTTTATAACAGTATGCATGTAACCTACCTATTTCATCCGACCACGGGTTGACCCTCCTAAACTGGCTACGTTTCGGTGACCTCTTCGGGGAAACCGAGGGTTTTGTCTGTGCGATACAGTATCAGGTTATTAAGACCAACAACTATCGGAGATACATCCTAAAGGATGGCACTATGACATATGTCGAGCTTGTCGCCATCCCGGTGAATCACTTAGGCATGTCATCTCCGGTTGTTCGGCGCTTTCTAATTTCTGAGTACTTGCACGGGTACAACCTAGTAGCCAGAATTCTACACCGCCGTGCTCGAAAATGACAACGCATCTGCGTTTAATAATAATAATAAAAATACGACAGTTTCAAGAGGCTCTCGATCAGAAGTCGCTCCCGAACCTCTTCACTACTGGGATCACTCATTTGGTTCCTAAAGATCAGGATACCACAGACCCGAGCAAATACCGCCCCATCACGTGTCTACCCACCATATATAAGACACTGACATCCATTTTGAGCGCGAAAATCACTCGTCACCTGGAGCTAAATCAGGTGATGTCACGCGCTCAAAATGGATGCCGGGGCGGTGGTCGTGGAACCAAGGAACCACTCCTCATTGACGCGGTCATTGGCAAAGTGGTGAAACGCAACCGTCGGAATTTCTCCGCCGCCTGGATAGACTACAGAAAGGCATTCGACTCGGTGCCCCATACATGGCTAAAGAGAGTCCTCCAGCTGTACAAAATTGACTGTACAGTTGGAGACTTCCTCGAGCAGTGTATGGGGCAATGGAGTACGATCCTTTGCTATCTTGGCGAGCGGATGATGGCTGCAGAGAACCACATAAGGATAAGAAGGGGTATTTTCCAGGGCGATTGTCTGAGTCCAATTTGGTTTTGCCTCTCCCTGAACCCTCTCAGTACTTTACTGGAGGGCTCCGGGAGGGGATTTCAGCTTCGGAAAGGAGGTACAAAAGTGACCCACCTTTTCTATATGGATGACCTCAAATTATTCGCCTCCAGTCGCTCCCATCTTATGGAATTGCTAAACATCACTTGTGAATTTAGCAGTTCTATTGGAATGGAGCTGGGAACGGATAAGTGTGCGGTCCTCCATGTTGAAAGGGGAAGGGTTGCTAACTCTGAGGGCATAGACTTATCTATGCCCGTCAACTTAAGGACCCTTTCCGAGGCTGAAACATACCTATACCTGGGTATGTCACAGAACATCGGTATCGATGAGGCTGGTATGAAACAGTCAGTTTGCGACGTGTTTTATGCACGCTTGACCAAAGTGCTTAACAGCCTTTTGTCCGGTGTGAATAAGACACACGCATATAACGATTGGGTCATGCCTGTCCTCAAGTATACCTTTGGCATTGGCATACTCAGGTGGACCCAGACTGAACTTAACGCCCTGGATAGAAAAGTCCGCACTACCATGACGTCCCATAGGATGCATCATCCGAGATCGTCGGTAATGAGGCTGTACTTGCCGCGAAAGCATGGTGGACGTGGTTTTCTGAGCGCACTCACCATGCATAATCGCGAAGTGTGCAGCCTCCGTGATTACTTCCTGGCGAGATCGGATGATCCATTCTATAATGACGTCATTTCTAGTGATAAAGGGCTTACCCCTCTATCCTTAGCCAACGAGCAATGGCAGGACCCAGCAGTGCTTAGCATTTCCGACCGGGAGACCGTATGGAAGGAGAAGGAGCTCCACGGGAGGTTCTACAAGGCTCTACATGAGCCTTTCGTAGACACAGTAGCCTCCCTCCACTGGCTACGCTTTGGTGATCTCTTCGGGGAAACCGAGGGTTTTGTCTATACAACTATAGGAGATACATCATAAAGGATGGCACCGTGGACATCTGTCGAGCTTGTCGCCATCCCGGTGAGTCACTTAGGCATGTCATCTCCGGTTGTTCGGCGCTTTCTAACTCTGAGTACTTGCACAGGCACAACCTAGTAGCCAGAATTCTACACCAGGAGCTCGCTCTGAAATACGGTCTCGTGGATCGGAAATTGCCGTATTACAAGTACTTGCCGGAAGCCGTGCTCGAAAATGACCGCGCCAGGCTCTATTGGGACCGGGCCATCATCACAGACAGGACTATTCTTGCGAATAAGCCTGATATTGTGCTGATGGACCGGGCACAGTCAAGGATATTTTTGGTCGACATTACCATTCCGTATGACGAGAACCTCGTGAAAGCCGAAACAGACAAGCAAACAAAATATCTGGACCTGGCTCACGAGGTGACCGACATGTGGGGTGGTCTGCCGACCGAAATTATACCTGTACTCGTTTCTGCAAACGGGCTAATCCCAGTCAGTCTCTCGGGTCATCTGAGGCGACTGGGACTCCGTGACGGACTGCTCCGGGCTCAAATGCAGAAGGCGGTGCTCCTCGATACCGCCAGCATTGTCCGCCGGTTTCTTTCCCTTTCCCCCTAACCCTCGACCGTTTGGTCTCCCCCGCCGAGGGCTTCCATCTGGTTGGGCTTTTATTTATGTATGTTTTTTTTAAGTATTTGTTTTATTTTATTGTTATTTATGTATATATATCATTTCTGTTCGCAATTATATATTTATGGAACCCAACTAGATGAGAAAACTATATAGATATCCCATAATAATAATGTTTAAATAAATATACCGGAAAAAAGTGAGTATTAGTATCAGTTGATTCAATCTGACCAACAATCGACAGGGAAGAAAGGATCTCGAGTGGCAGCCTGATACGGGTAGGCAGTGTTGGGCTGCCCCCCACCAGATGGAGTGACGACCTGGTAAGACATGTATGAAGTCGATGGATGAAAGTGGCTCAGGAGCTCAAGACCGCGCTTTGTGGCTTTCCATGTTCAGTAGTGAGACATATGAAGGACTGTAATTATGATAATGATGTTGATGATCAAATCTGATACGTTTACTTACTATGAGCAATAAACTAATTAATAAACGATCCCCAAGTTAAATAATGGGTCGAAAATGTGTCGACACAAGGGCTGGTATGAGCAAAACTCAGCGGCATAATACTCAACACTATTACCATAGACACCCATTCGCGCATTCTATCTTAGTTTAAGGGCCTATACTGCCTCAGCTCAAATTCTAATTTCTCCCCGACTTCCCCACGCGTCGTATGCTATCTAGCGACATGTTTTTAATCACTAACACTGTAAGTAGATAGGTCGTTAGATACGTCGAAAATGTGTCGACACAAGGGCTGGTATGAGCAAAACTCAGCGGCATAATACTCAACACTATTACCATACGAAACATAATGCCCAGTAATAGACACCCATTCGCGCATTCTATCTTAGTTTAAGGGCCTATACTGCCTCAGCTCAAATTCTAATTTCTCCCCGTCTTCCCCGCGCGTCGTATGCTATCTAGCGACATGTTTTTAATCACTAACACTGTAAGTAGATAGGTCGTTAGATACTTATTTCATTAGGTTTATCATATTTATGCCTGCTTCTTTACGCCAACCTAGTCGCTTCTTATTTTAATTACGGTTATTTCCAATTTTAATTTTACGTCGTCCTGTTACGTAATATGTATTCTGATTGAAAGCGACACAACATTCCCGTTCGAAAGCCGAAGCGAGACTGAGCTGGAGAATCGGGCGGCAGGGAACAAGCTTCAGGACGCCGATAGTTTAGGTATTTTCTTTTTACAGTGAAAATAATGGTAATTTAAAAAAACATAAGCCCTGCTTTATAATTAGTTCAGTTCACAGAAATCTAAATAATAAGGCAATAGAAGTCGTAAAAACGCGTGACCTTGTCGCCGCACATATGACTCGTAGGTCACAAGCGCGCAACTTTGTTTGTTTCGATCACCATTGTTATTTCGGACGCAGAGACTTAAAAATGGAGTTTTGAAGCATGTCTAACTGCGGAAATTTTTCCACAACTAAGGTATTTCATAAATAATACTTAGAGCGTTTTTAATGAAGTATACTTAAATAAAATTATTCACCTCCAGTACTACGATTGTGTCCGAAAATTTAATTGTTTTCACATCACAATATCCATTGATTCTTAAGCTAGTTCATGTCTACGAGTGCGACAGCTAAAAGCAGCGATGGATTTATAGTATGGGCAATAAAAAATATTGTTGCCTACGTTTATTTCCAATAACACGGATACAAAGGCGAGCGCGAGACAGTGGCGTGACACTATTACTTTGTATCGATAATTTATTATGTTTGGCTTACCTAGTTTTACAGAAATGGGAATGAAATGTGAGTTTTCGTTAAATAGTTATTAGCACTTCCTCTATTTTTTTTTCTTTCTAAATATTTTATACCGTTAACCTTTTATCAGCGATTATATGTTTGTTATTACTTTTAAATTACTTGATAAAGTTTGATGCAATTTTAATATATTGCAAGGATAAGTAATTATATCGTAAGGGTGGTAGACTAAATTCGATCTGTAAGAAGCCGGGTAACTGAACAATAACAAACAACAGAAAGTCAGTTACAGATATTTAAACCAATAAAAAATTATAAATATGTAACCCTGTCTATATTTATTTGTTTGCTGTTTGTATAATGTTGTATTCATTTTATTCATACATCTGTTTATTTAATACAGAGCTATTATTCCAGGTTTCCAAAAGATACGGATATTAAAGATAAATGGATATACTACTTATCCTTAACGTTTTATTATATCCTCTTTTCTCTAGTTATAAAAGCGTCCATTACTAAAGCGTATATTCTAAAAGCGTCTATTACTGAGACACTCAGTTAATTATATCTTAGTGTGAGACCCCTGGACGATCAACGACGCTTAATCGAACGAAAGTTATCGAAACGTGCGTTGCGCTCCACTATGCCCAAGTGAGAGTGAGCGCGAAACGTCATTCTCTGTTTTTCGCAAACGTTAATTATTGTACCAAGTGGCTACGCCTTCTGAGATATTGCGTTTTTATAAAATATTCTTTAAGACGACACATTGAAAATAAACGATTAAAATGGCTCCGCCTATTCCAGCCCGCGCCCCGCTTGCGACACTCGTCACTCGGTTCCTAAAATTTCAAACTCGCGCCAAATGCTCAATCGGAGGTCAACGTGCGATATACAGAAAGGAACAAGCAAGCGTCGGAGTCGCGACACACTATTATTTTTAATGTTTTTAATATTTTGCATCATTTATTGTCTTGTTGTATAATAAAATGTAACTGTATATGTCATTGTTGTCGTCATCATGTTAGTTTATCAAAAGAGAAATCAACAAAGCTTATATTTTTTATTTATTGAAATAATAACTAAGTCATAATTTTTAAAACTGATATATTGTATAACAGAATTTGTAACTACGTTTTTATTGATATTATATTCCTCTTCTTTTTAGGGCCATTATGCACATTTTCTTTATTTTTCTTTTTTGTTACATTATTTGGATCCCGAATTTGTTTATTACGAGTAAGTCGCGGTTCTACCAATTCCGGTAGCAAGCAGTGAAAATAAAATGATAGTAGTTTTTCTCCATTTTATCCTTCCAAAATTGGTCATTCTTTACTATTGTTTCCACTTTGATTTAATAACGTCTATACTATACTGCCAATAACCATTTAGATATTTCGGAAATATGCACCTGTCTTTGAACTTGCATGTACCAATCGGAATTTTTGTTCACCTGGATCACACCACTTTTTTATTTACCCGCCAGAAATGCATTTTTTCTTGTATTATGACTTCGTCAATACCGACCTTGTATGCAATTATGGGACATGTGATTTCAAACAGGGTGTTACTTCCTATAAAACTGTCAGACTCCTAAACATGGATGATTTTTGTATATGAATAAACGACAAGGGTCTATCTTTAGGTCTAGTAAATTTGATATTTTTTTACTGTACTAGCGCAACTGTTGGTTTTAATTCTTGTGACAATCTTTCCAAAATTGGAGGTTGCAATAATAGAAAAAAAAATTCGTTAATGTCACTAAGAATAATATAGAGCACAGTCACAGCGTCTCCATCGGATTACTGTCCTAATAGTGCGTATTGAGTTGTTACGACTAACAGAATGTGACCTCCACCGACGTACAAAGCTTAGGTTGAAGCAGGCAAGCTTATAGTGGACATAACAAGATTCCGTATCTAGATATACGGCCAGTATATGGATGTTGTCAATATATCTATATAGGTAGCATTTAGTCAAATGTCATGTTTTATTCATTTATGTAAAAGTGCATTTTGATTTGCATTTTGATTCGTAATCGAGGATAGATGTAGATGTCTACGGGCCACAGCAACCACTTATCATCAGGTTGACTGTGTGCTCGTTTGTCACCCTATTCTATAAAAAAAATCATACCCCAATACGTATAATGCAGAGGCTTATTTTATTTATATACGATTTTGTTCTCTATTCCCTTGTAGGTAAGTACTAAGTAATTCGAATTATCTAAATGGCTTAAGTTGCTTGAATCATACTGAATCTAGGTAGGCAGGTTATGTTCTTTATAATTAACTACAGACATACGTGACACTAAAATGCTATTAAAATATTTACCTGATATTATTTACCTTGACTTGTTCGTCTCCGTCATTCTAAGAACATTTATTTTTTCAAATTGCTCTTTCCTTTTTCTCCTATATATTTTTTTTTAGTATTTCCCATTACCACAAACAAATTATTTAATTAGTACTACTTATACTAATAATAATTTCCTATTATAATAATAAAGCTATTCTACAACTATAGCTATTTATAATAATAAAGATATATCTATAAGAATAGAGAGTACAAGCGAACGACTTGCGTAGGTCCTACGTTGTGGCGGCCTCTCCCGGACTGGCCCGCGTGAGTATATAATTTCTATAAAACTTTAAAACGCTTGTCATAAGGTCTAAAAATGCGTAGCGTCCGCGACGATTAACACGCTTAGAAATTGTCAGAATCTTAAAATATTTTTAAAAAATTAAGGAATTAGGTAATCATAATAATGCGCAACTAAATTATAAATATTGACGTTACGAATACATTTGAGTGATTCCCAAGCTATAGATTAAGTAATAATTGTTGTAATTTCAACTATAGTGATTTTTAGATGTGTTTTCGCAAATAATTATGATCGAGTCAAAATTATACAATCGTGTTTTTGAGCACGCAAATTCAAGATAAAGACATGAATTTACTTATATCAGAATTTCAGTTTCGTTAGTCGTGTCATAGACCCATACTATTCGATGCAAGGAGGTGCATTTTATCAAGGTGTCGTCTTAACGCAATAATTTATAGTTTAATCTTTGTTGCATGAGTGCTAGATATGTGTAGGCGAAATTGTGTATTTATTGTCTGTGTATTTGTGTTAGAAGCGAACCGGCGACACGCGCCTCGTTATTAAAAGACAGTAGAAGGCATTTACCTTTCGGAGTATCTATATAGTTTTCTCGTCTGGTTGAGTTCCATAAATATATAATTGCGAACGAAAATGATAAATATACATAAATAACAATAAAATAAAATAAATACATAAAAAATACATAAATAAATAAAAGCCCAACCAGATGGAAGCCCTCGGCAGCGGAGACCAAACGGCCGAGGGTTAGGGGGAAAGGGAAAGAAACCGGCGGACGATGCGGGCGGTATCGAGGAGCACCGCCTTCTGCATTTGGAGTACGCCGCATGCGATGGACAATCGAAATGAATACCAACGCATTGCGGGCGTATTTTAGGGCGAAAGGGGGAGAAGTTGGAGGTTTGGCGTCTCGGGCTAGGATGCATCGTCCTTTTGCATTTCAAGTACCTATATATTATTAAGATTTTTATTTCTGTGATTCAGTTAGTACGCAAAGTTTCATGATCTACTTTAAAGTATTTTGTGAATACCAGCGGTTTATTGTTCGGTTTGGAGGTAACTTTAGTTTTTTTTTCTATCGAGAAAATTTTACGGAATCGTGTTTTCGTCGAACGTAGTATTCACATTAATCCTCAACTTTATCATATATTTATTTCAAAATTAATGCTGCAATATTTTCGGCATAACGGAGGATCTTGCTAAGCCATTTGAGGTCGGTATAGGCTCTTAATAAAATTTATCTTAGTTTGAGTTTGAGCATGGCTTAAATTTCGCGAGTAACTCGTGTTCTGTACCGTAATTTGCAAATGTATGTGCTAATTTAACAAGTGTCGCATCTCAGATATTAAAAAAAATATTATAGGATTTTATGTCCACAAACATGCACTGGAGTAGCGTGGCAGACTCACTTCATTACTCTCTGAAATAGGAGGTCCTGTTACGTTGAGAAGTTTTACGTTATTACTTTTACTTTTTTTTATTTTATATTGAT